CATAAAACTGAATGCTTTTAGTTTTCAGTGGAGTTTTCTGAGAAGCAGAAAACTTCTCAGAAAAGAAGTTTTCTGAGAAGCAGAAGCTAAGACAGGATTAGATATGGTTATAATTTGGGTCTCCATGTATCAATGCAACTCAGGCCTTGTGTCCAGTAATTTTCAAAATGTCAGGTATTCATCCTTTGTTAGTATACAGATACCCTTGTAGGTGGTAGTAATTTCCTTGGGGAAGGACTGGTAGAATTATAGTATATATTTGTAGCAATGTTGCAGAGTCCCTTCTAGGGACCTGGCCACCTCTTCATTCAATGGGTCTGGATCTGAAAATTAACTCAAGTTTGGGAAGTGAGTGATATGATTTGGCTGTATCCCCACCTAAATCGCATATTTACTTGTAGTTCCCATAATCCCCATGTGTTGTGGGAGGGACCCAGTGGGAGGTAATTAAACCATGGGGTGGTTTTCCCCATGCTGCTGTTCTCATGATAGTAAGTTCTTACAGGATCTGATTTTTATAAATGGCTTTTCCTTCTTTGCTCAGAACTTTTTCCTGCTGCCATGTGAAGAAGAGCATATTTGCTTCTCCTTCTGCCATGATTGTAAGTCTCCTGAGGCCTCCCCAGCCATGTGGGACTGTGAGTCAATTAAACCACTTTCCTTTATAAATTACCCAGTCTCAGATATGTCCTTATAGCAGCATGAGAATGGACTAATATAGTAAATTGGTATAGGTGGTGGGGTACTGCTGTAAAGATACCTGAAAATGTGAAATTGACTTTGGAACTAGATAACAGGAAGAGGTTAGAACAGTTTGGAGGATCAGAAGAAGACAGGAAGATGTGGGAAAGTCTAGAACTTCCTAGACACTTGTTGAATGGCTTTGAGCAAAGTGCTGATAGTCATATGGACAATGAAGTCCAGGCTGAGGTGGTCTCAGATGGAGATGAGGAACTTGGGAACTGACATAAAGGTGACTATCGCTATGTTTTAGCAGAGACTGGTGGCATTTTGCCCCTGCCTTAAGGATCTGTGGAATTTTAACTTGATAGGAATGATGTAGAGTAGCTAGTGGAATAAAATTCTAAGCAGCAAAGCATTTAATGGGTGTCACTTGGGTGCTGTTAAAAGCATTCAGTTTTATGTATTCACAAAGATATGGTTTAGAATTGGAACTTATGTATAAAAGAGAAGCAGAGCATGAAAGTTCAGAATATTTGCAGCCTGACAATGTGATAGAAAAGAAAAACCCATTTTCTGAGGAGAAATTCAAGCTGGCTGCAGAAATTTGTATAAGTAATGAGGAGCCAAGCGTTAATTACCATGATGATGGGGGCAAATGTCATGGCAACCCCTCCCATCACAGGCCCAGATGCCTACAGGGAAAAGGTAATTTTGGCCAGGTCTAGAGCCTTGCTGCTTTGTGCAGTCTGGAGATGTGGTGCCCTGCATCACAGCTGTAGCTAAAAGGGGCCAGTGTAGAGCTCAGGCTGTTGCTTCAGAGGGTGCAGCCCCAAGCCTTGGCAGCTTACACATGATATTAGGCTTGTGGGTACACAGAAATCAAGAACTGAGGGTTTGAAACCTCAGTCTAGATTTCAGAGGATGTATGGAAATGCCTGGATGTCCAGGCAGAAGTTTGCTCCAGCGGTGAGCTCTCATGGAATACCTCTGCTAGGCCAGTGCAGAAGGGAAATGTGGGGTCAGAACCCCACTGGGGCACTGCCTAGTGGAGCTGCAAAAATCGGGCAACCATCCTCCAGACCACAAAATGATAGATCCACCAACAGCTTGCATTGTGCACCTGGAAAAGCTACACATACTCAATGCCAGCCCATGAAGGCAGCCAGGAAGGGGGCTGTACACTGCAATGCCACAGGGGTGGAGCTGCCTAAGGCTGTGGGAGCCCACCTCTTGAATTAACATGAACTGGTTGTGAGACACAGAGTCAAAGGTGATCATTTTGGAGCTTTAATATTTGACTACCCTGCTGGATTTCAGAATTGCATGGGCCCTGTAGCCCCTTTGTTTTGGCTAATTTCTCCCATTTGGAACAGGTGTATTTACCCAATTCCTGTATGCCCATTGTATCTAGGAAGCAACAAACTTGCTTTTGATTTTACAGGCTCATAGGCAGAAGGGACTTGCCTTGTCTGAGATGAGATTTTGGACTTGGACTTTTGAGTTAATGCTGAAATGAGTTAAGACTTTGAGTGACTGTTGGGAAGGCATGATTGTGTTTTGAAATGTGACGACATGAGATTTGGAAAATATCAGGGACAGAATGATATGCTTTGGCTGTGTCCCCACCCAAGTCTTATCTTGTAGTTCTCATAAACCCCATATGTCATGGGAGGGCACTGGTGAGATGTGATTGAATCATGGGGTTGGTTACCCCCATGCTGCTGTTGTTGTGGTAGTGAGTGAGTTCTCATGAGATCTGATGGTTTTAAAAGGGGCTTTTCCCTCTTTGTTTGGCACTTCTCCTTCCTGCTGGCATGTGAAGAAGGACATGTTTGCTTTCCCCTCTGCCATGATTATAAGTTTCCTGAAGCCCCCCATCCATGCTGAACTGTAAGTCAGTTAAACCTCTTTCCTTTATAAATTACCCAGTCTCAGGTATGTCCTTTTAGCAGTGTGAGAATGGACTAGTATAGTGAGCAAGGGATCATGACTGTTTATTGGGGTCATTGGCCTCAGCTTACTTACTACTTCTCAATCCTTGCCCTTTTCTGGTTGTAGATGTTAAACATCACCCTTGCTGGCCACTCCTCTGATTTGACCCTAGAGATGCCCATGGTCTATTAACCATCTCCATACCCTACTTTGGGACAAGCTTCCATTGACTGCCCCTCTGATTGTGAGGTTCTGGCATCTTTCATTTAAGTGCCATGACCTGATCACTATTATTTTGGAGGCCCCAGTATTCCCATTGGATATTAAGAATCGCAGCTCTATGACTGCCTCTATCGTCAGTCTTGTCCTGCATAAGAAAGCTACTGTAATTCTCAGTGATGCAAGTGCCCTTCTTACCAGCACATTCCTAATTTCCTTGGTGAATGGTGTTTCCTCTGGACCCTCCCCTGGAACACAGTTATCTTGTAGTTTTTCTGACCTCACATAATATAGCCACTCTAGCAAACCTACTTCTCCTTCTCAGCCTTTTTATTCCTTCCTCTTCCTCCTGCCTTGGTAACTCAGGCATTTCCACTTTGCTCAGTGCTGGATCACTTTCTTAGGCTTCAAAGATCCATTCTAACAATGAGTTTGCACTATCCTCTGGGTCTTACCAGGCCATTAAACTTCATGTCCTACAAAAGTACTTCCAAGTCAAAGAAACCTTGCTTGTTCAGTTTCATATTCTAACCCCCTGTGCAAACATCCTCAAAATTCAGTATAAATTGTCTTCATTGGCTAGTTGTACCTTGGAATATAATTTCTTTCCTCCCTTATCAGGCCCAGCATGTCCCCAACTGAATTTAACCCTAGGGTTATTGGCCTAGCAGCCAAGAGATGAGGTAGGGGTGCTCCTGAGAGAACATCTATTAAGATACCCTTATTCTGTTTTGCAGCATAAGGGTCAGTCACACCTGAAAGTTCTTAGATTCCTGAAGGGTCTACAGAGTCAACATTAGGAGTATCCATTCATTCACCAAGGCTATCAGGAATGTGCTGGTAAGAAGGGCACCAGTCTCACTAAGAAATTCAGCAGCTTCCCTCTGCAGGCCAAAACTGGCGGTAGAGACAGTCACAGAGCTGAGCCCATTAACATCCATGGGGATAGTGGTGTTCTCATAGTAATAAAGTAATAATGTTTCATCACAGAAGCTGTTTCAGGATTTTACGTTTTCCCAACCAAAGCTCTGACATTTAGCATACAGCCCTGCCTGGCTGGTATTATCTAAATGTCTCTAGAGCTCTGTAATTATCATATCCTCATTTGCTGGTAGCTGTGTCTACTTTTCCACTACAGGAGATAAGGGCTGCCAAAGATATCTTCTAGCTTTCATACTTAACCTTTAACTGCCAATCAAAGGTACATGATTTCTCACTGTCCCTCTGCAAAGCATCAGTACTACTCTTTAACCAACCAACTCTTGTAGGCACTGTCCCCTGTATCTTTCAAATGCTTTGATTATTACATCAACCAGGGGATTTCCTATTACCAGTTTGTTTTCCTAGGTAGAAAACATTTCTTCACCATGAAGTCTTTAGTAGTGCCATCTCTTTCTAGGAGCTATCCATTCTCTACATACTGCACAATATGGTACCTTATTTGCCTGTCGGATAGTAAGTAAACAAGTCTCAAAATTTTATCTTACCACTGGTTCTCTCAGAACACTCTCACAAGCATTTGTATTAGCTCAGGTCCTTTGAGATCTGCTAAGATGGGATTAGAAGTCCAAGAGGTTTACTGGGAAAACAGTTAGAACAAATAAAGGGGAAGCAGCTAGCGCAAGTGAGAACCTTCAAACATCAATGCAGGTCAGACACTGGTGAAGAAGAGAGAGGAAAGGAAGAAGGAGAATTTGGTTGGTAGAGTTTCAGATTGCAGCACAATTCTAAGAAAGTTTCGACCGCCTTGATGGGAAATTCTCAAGCCAAAATCTCCCACTAGAAGTATCCCACATTAGTGTCCCTTCCATGTTTAGTCTTGGCTGAGAGTAGCTTGTAGGGAGCATGGCTTTGGGATGAATATGGTGGATAAATCTGAGGCACACTAGCTGAGTCCGTCAGTCAATTTTGCTTTGATATGGGCATTTTCATGGCCATATTCCACATAATCTTTTGTTTTTATTATTATTATTTTGAAGCAGGGTCTTGTTCTGTCACCCAGGCTGGGGTTTAGTGGCACAATTTTGGTTCACTGCAACTTCTGCCTCCTGGGCTCAAGTGATCCTTGCACCTCAGCTTCCAGAGTAGCTGGGACTATAGGTGCACACCACCGTGCCAGCTAATTTTTTGTAGACACGGGGTTTCATGGTGTTGCCCAGGCTGGTCTTGAACTCCTGGACTCAAGCAATCTGCCTGCCATGGCCTCCCAAAGTGCCAGGATTATAGGCGTGAGGCAATGTGCCCAGCTTCTACATAGTCTTATGATAGCTTTTAGCAGCTAGAGAGACTAGGTCCTTTCAAGTTTGAATCCAGAGGAAGATGGGCATCTTTATCCTAGCATTCCTAGCAAAAGCTCTGAGATTGACTTGGATTAGGCCAGCCTAGGTCCTGTGCCCACCCCTGAGCCAGGCATGGTGGCCAGGGAAGTTTTGTGCCCTGCTTTGCTCAGGTGTAGTTTTCATGTTCTACTTCCAAGGTAAGAGTTGGAACTCCACCCATACCATGAGAACCAAGAGGCAGTGAGGGGCAGATCTCTAAGAAACAATATGCACATAGAATATGTGTATTTTTCATTTTAATGACTGCTGTAAGGTTGCTTTCTAAAGACACTATAACAATTCACAGTTCCACCAAAAATTATGAGTACCTTTTCCCCCCACAACTTCATCAACAATATCTTAGCTTTCTTTTTAAATGCTTGCCTACCTGATGTTTACAAAGTGATAGCTCATTATTTGTTTTAATTGATAATTTCCTAGTTCCTAGTACTAGTGTTTTTAAACATTTTTTTTCATGTATTCACTGGCTACTTGGATTTCCTTTTCTGTCAGTGGATTCCCCAAAACCCATGTCTATTTTCCTATTGTTTATCTTTTGTCCTTTTTTTTTGTCAGTTTATAAAAGCACTTTATATGTTATGGCTAATTACCCTCTGTCTGTCCTCTGCATTGCAAATGGGTAAAGAAAAAGTAGCCTGGAACTCTGCATATGTTATCCTCCTCCATCTTTATTGTCCATATTAGACCCATATTCCTCAGGAGGCAGTCCAGATCAATATGCCAGGACTACTGTGGGACAACTCCATCATTTATTTTTTAATTATTATTTTTTATTTTTTTAAAGACAAGGTCTTTCTCTGTTGCCCAGACTGGAGTGCAGTGATGCAATCATAGCTCACTGCAGCCTTAAACTTCTTGGCTCAAGCGATCTTCCCCACCTCATCATTATTGAAAAACAAAACAAGATAATCCCTGGTCAAGGACAAGTTTTCATCACCCACCTTTACCCCTTCCCTCACACACACACTGAGGCAAGATTGCCCAAATTTCAGTCATTCTGGAACCACCACCCCAATTTTTGCCATATCATTTGAGTTGTGTACTATTTAAATTTCTGGAAATTGTCCTTTTTTGCACAGATTTATTTTAAAAGCATATATTGTTGCTATTGCATCAGTGTAACTACTGGTTATCTTTTTCCAATACTCATTAAAATAAATTCGTAACTATTAAAATAAAAGGCATTTGTGTACTATCCAAAACATACTTACCTTTGGGAAACTGCATTAGAGCATGTCAAGAGGATCACCAGGCTAGTTAGGGACAAGACTGAGGGTTTACAGAGCTGTGAGTTTCATGACCTCACCACTCACTGATCGCACAACCACTCCCATGCAGTGCCGTGGGTGGTAGGTTCATTTACATCAGAGAAAAGGCAACATGGAAGAATGCAACTGCTGTATACATATTTGTAGTGGAAATTAGAATCCAGGTCTTTCTCCAAAAACAACACTGTAGTAGGGAAAAGGTGTTGGTTTGGCAGAAACAGGCCTCAGTCAAGTCCAGTGGACCTACTGTACATGATATTCAGGGCCCAGGAAGCTGGAGCCCGGTGCCAACCAGGATTGTGCTATGAACATTCCACATTCTAGCTAGAACATTAGGGATTCTAAGGTTCTGCTGATTATGCTGGGGTCCAGGGCTTGAAAGTGGTAGCCATAGGACCCAGGGCTGTGGTGGGTCACAGTCCCTGAGTGGGTCTCAGTGTCCAACACTGTAGCTGGTGCCTGCCAGGTTCCCAGTGGCAAGGGTCACTAGGTCTGAAGAGAGATGTGCTGGCTGCGGGCATGGGGCCAGATTCTCCTGCCAATTTTTCTCTCCCTCTTTCTCATCCAATTGCTTATCAGCTTTTCAGAGAATGGTTTTTTCTACAGCCCCAGGAACAATCAGAAACCAAGAGATGGAACTGAAGAGGGTGAGTGATCTAGAGCCCTGAGTCGAGTGCCCCATGTGTTCCGGCATTGTTCTTCCTTTTAATTGTGCCATCCAGGTGCACTAAAACTTTAATCTCAAAAGTTGTCATTTGGTGTTGATGGGAAGACATTTTAAAGGCTCTAGATGGTTTTGGTGAAACTTGGTTAAATTGGACTCAGATTAATTTGCTTTATCTGAAATATGAAAGGTGGATTCAAACAGTTTTAAATTTGAAGAAAAGCATGGCTTCTCCCACCTCCCTTTTTGCATGACTTATGGCATATAAGCTTTTTGTTGTGAATAAGCCATTGGGTTTTGTTCTAATCAGACCCACTCAATGGTCATAGCTCTTTTTTAGTTTTGAAAGGTCTTAGCTAATAAAATCCTTTATTTGTTCTTTTTCATAAAAAAAAAAATTACTTCAGTTTGGAGGCTTCTCTTGGTTTCCCTCCTCAAATGAAAAACTTTTGAAATGTTAAAAGTCATGCTGAGCCTAAATTCATGAACCTGGAAATAAGGTTTTTAGTATCCTAAATTGGAACCATATAGATAAAATAAGGGACAGAATTTGAATTACTTGGAAAGTGCCCTGTAAAGCCAAGATTGCCATTTTTTACAAAGACTATGAGACTGAATAATTACTGCTGTCTGGTTTCCAGAGTAGAAAAGAATGTTAGTATCTGTAAGCAAATCAGTCTTCCTTACTAAAACCAAACCCACAGTTCTCAGCATTGCACTGAAATAAGAATCTCCTTTGAGGGGGTAGGGATGGGGGAGGCTGAAGTAAAAGACCTAGCTTGTTTTCTTTGGTTTTGTCTTTCCCACAGATTTCTCTTTTTTAACCTCTTGGTCACCCCTATATGTACTCTAAGATAAGCAGTGTTCCAGTGCCATCCTGGCCCCTTCTCCCAACACACAGCACCTAAAAGCATAAGTCCAAGCATAGAAACAAATTCTTCCTTTTGTTCCCTAGCAAAATGGACTCATACTGGAAGTTTTCAAAAGACTTTATCAAAATGCTGATGAAGAAAAAAAAAAAGAAAGCAAACAAATAAAATAAATTAAAAATCACAGATAAGATAATCTCTAAAGAGTGAAGTTTCTGATGCTAGCTAGCCCATTCTAGGGCTGGCCAGCTGGAGTCCCTGTTTCTGAGGAAACAGCTTGCTATTGCCTGGGAAACAGCTTGCAACCTGTCAAGGGCCTCCCCTGAGTGTTTGCATCTTAGGCTCGGGCCAGTTCCCCTTTGCGCTTGCATTTAATCTTCCCATCTAACAAGGATATGGTTTCTTAGACATCATGGTACTTTTCACTTCCAAAACTGAGAAGGGGCTTCGAAGCCTTTACTGAGATACTCATCTACATCCTGGACTTTGCCCTAAGTAACAGGCAACAGACAGGACTTTGTGAAGGATTGTACATCAAGTGAGACCCCCCTAAGCAGGTTGCTTTGATCCCCAGGGCTTCTAACTCTGATGTTCATATACATTTGAGAGTTTGGTAATCAATGTCTCAAGAAATTATAGTAAGCACTTGATGGAACTTTGGGTTAATCTTCTAGAATCTAATGAATGGATTAAAAACTGTACTAAAACCCGGAGAAATTTTTTCACTAGAAGTAGCCAGACAACAAAGGAACATAGTGCAAAAAATAAGTAGCAGCTAAGGAAAGAACTGGAAGATTCTGGATCAGAACAGAATAGCACAGCATGGCAGGACTCCAAATGTTACCACCCCCTCCCTTAGAGGTAACTAGTGAGTCACTGTAATCCAATAATTTTTAATAATTCACCCAAATCTAGAGAGAAACAAGTTGAGTGCGTATCCTGTTCTTTATCTTATTCTAAAGATGAGAAGAGAAAATGGCTACTGAGGAGAAGTAAGTGGAATGAGGACTGAAAGAGAGAGGGCCTGACTCTCTGATGGAAACTCAGGTTCCTGAGTTATAAGCTGGATTTGAGAGCAGACCTAGAGTCCAAAGAGATCCCCTTTGTGGAAATGGGAAACACCTCTGATAAGCTCTAGCAAACTTTGACATTGGAAAATGACAAACCTCAAAAGAGAGAGCAAAGCCAGATATTCTAACAAAGTTTGGCACAGCCTCATTTGAGTTCTCCCCCTTGTCAAATGCTGAAAACAATGGAGTGAATAGAACATAAAATGCCATAAAACTGTAGCTTCTTGAAAAAAATCTCAAGAGTAGTGGTAAGGTGGTTAAAATCTCACGTACACTATGTCAGAACAAATAGAAAGTGTGAACAGAGCTACATAAGCATTCGTAGAATGGAAACAATATAGCAACTATGTAAACCTTGCACAGCAAAATAAAGGAGTATATGATAGCATGTAAACCACCCCCACAACACACACCAAATAATCTACCCTAGAAGAAAACACAACTCAAGTAACATGAAAATTTCCCTACAAATGCTTTGAACTAGAAAACAATCAAATGAGAAACAGATTCAGTGAAGCAAGCCTCAAAGTCAAGATAGTAAGATATCAGAATGAGATGAAAAGGCAGATAGCTCCAAGGAAATAAATTGAAGGCCAAATAATTTGAATATAAGGCAGGGCTTCTGAGTTTTCTCTCTTCATTTGTTTATTTCTGCTAATTGTGAACACACCGAGAATATTTGTCACATATTCTAAGCCTACTTACTGTGGTGGTCTCTGGTAGCTGCTTTATTCCTCCATTCTCTAGCCTAGGAGGAGCCTTTGTCTGGGATGAGGTGGGACTTCACTTTCTTTCCACTGATAGACTTCTCAGCCTCTTTCATCCCCTGCATACCCAATTTTAGTACTAAGTTCCCAGTGTTATGTATACACGAGTGATTTCTGTTTTCCTGGTTGGATTCCTAACTTCATATAACCATCTTTAAGACAAAAAGTACTTTAAGATTTTGACTATCAGGCAGGTATTAGGAGGATCAGAGCATTGATGCTAAGGTTTAAATGCTGCTGGGGAACCAGGGGAGAAACCTGGTATATCACTTCTGGCTGAGGTAAGGAAAAGGGGTGCTGATAAAAATTTCAGGCAGGTTACAGGGGAATCTGAAAACATTAGGAACACAGGAACTTGTCATTCACTTGCTAGGGTTTACTCCGAGTCCACTGGTTTCTTAGATAATATGAGGCTAATGTGGCTCTCAAACAGTAGGTAACAGTAGCAAATGAACTCAAGGACTACACGTCAGAATCCCTTGGACATAAGAATTTTCTAGGGAAAAGTAAAAAGTAAAAAGCCCTAAAATTCCCAACATAGGAGGTGGAGTACAGGCAAGGCAGCTCTTGCGAGAGCTGGCAGAATTGAAGAGGGATAGGTCTTTCCCAGAGAATACTAGACCACACATCTAGAAACCACAGCAGGACTGCAGATGCTAGACATGACACTCCCTAAGAAGGGGACAGATGAGATTCACACAGTGAGGCTAGCAAGGAAGAGGAGGAGACTCAGGCCAGTCACACCCTAGTGCCAGGGTAACACGTAGCCTTTGCTCCCAGAAAAGTATAGCATCCCCAAGGTAAAGGGGGAAGAAGTGAACCCTAAATTTCGCTTAATATTTACTCAAAGGAGGATGAATTAATTGACTGAACTTAACTTTGCAAGTTTATAGTTTTCTGCCACTAGCAGAAATGGGAAATTTGACATTATGCTGAATTGTGATGTAAAACTGAATTCTGATATTGAGAGGCCTAGATCAAATTCCACCTCTTCTGTAATGCCTTCCTTAGTCCACCCAATCTGAGTGAAGAGTTGCTCCTGTACTTAGCTGCACCTCTCTGATAGTACCTGTCTCACGAGAGAGTCAGAAGAATTCACACTGCCTGGACCCCTCCCAGCTCTGTTGCTTACTAGACGCATGTTTTCTGTGTCATAATTTCCTTATCAGTAAAATGAGATTAAAATAGTAACTTCCTGTAAATGATTGTTGTGAGGACCAGATGAGTTAATCTATGTTATGCACTGAGAACACTGTCTGGTACATGATAAGTTTTCAATAAACATTATGCAGTCATGTGTTACTTAACAATAGAGGTGTACCCTGAGAAATGCAGTTAGGCAATTTCATCATTATGTGAGTGACATAGACTATACTTATACAAAACTAGATTGTATAGCCTCCTATACACCTAGGCTAAATTAACCTATTGCTCCTAGGCTACAAACCTATACAGCATGTTACCGTGCTGAACACTGCAGGCAACTGTAACACAATGGTAAGTATTTGTGTATCTAAACTCATCTAAATACAGAAAGGGCACAGTAAAAAAATGGTATTTCCAGCTTAATCCATGCTGGAAACCATCATTCTCAGCAAACTAATACAGGAACAGAAAACCAAACACTACATGTTCTTACTCATACATGGGAGTTGAACAATGAGAACACATGGACGCAGAGAGGGAAACATCACACATGGGGGTCTGTTGGAGGATGGGGAGCTAGGGGAGGGATAGCATTAGGAGAAATACTTAATATAGATGATGGGGTGATGGGCGCAGCAAACCACCATGGCATGTGTATACTTAGGTAACAAACCTGCACATTCTGCACATGTACCCCAGAACTTAAAGTATAATTATACACACACACACACACACACACACACACACACACACACACACACATACAGTATTATAATCTGAAGGGATCATCATCCTATATGCAGTCTGTTAACCAAGATATTGTTATGCAGCACATGACTAGATACAGATGTAGAGATAGAGATATATATTATGACAGTGCTGGAAAACAAGATGAGGGCCAGAAAATGTTAAGAATCCCTGAAAAACAGAAAGCAATTGAGATCAGACTAATGGAGAAAGCCACAGCCTAAAACACACATAAGAGAAGACTAATGGAAGAGTGTATTATGGAGTTGTTCCAAGCTCAGCAGCAGTGAATATAAAGAGCATGAGGGAGTTGTGGAGCAGCTACCTGGGTGCTGAGCTTAGAGCACCATAGCTGGCTGCCTCTCCACCTTCTCAATTGTCTCAAGAAGTAGGCAGCAGAGTTGCAGAGGCAACTGCCCCAGGTTAACAATGAATGTGAATTATTGGCCTGGAAAGGCAGAGAAAGATATACTACCAACACACTGAACCTGGCAGCACGTCCCAATCCTCTCCCACACCACAGAGGTGGAAATGGCCTATATACATACACTTAAATCCTAACTTGTCAAGAATCATGAAATCCAACAAAGGAAAGAACCAATTTATTAAGACACATTTAATAGAGGGAGAAAAATCACCTTGAAATTAGAAATTTCTCCTGTAGAAAATGACAAGGACCAACAAGATTCCAAAGGAAATGACTAAGCTAGTAAGTAGATTGGCTTGCCACAACTCCATAGGTGCCAAAAGTAGACAGTGAGACTCAATGGATCCGTGCAAAATGGTTTATTACTCATAGCACAGCCAACAGCAGGAACATAAGCATGGTAGCATCAGTTCTCCTGCCCCCAAGTCCCATGGAAAAATCAGATCATGGCTATGAATACAGCCAGTTGCACTACAGCTAAGGAACCCAGGGCTAAGAGCTTATGACTTTTTATAGCAAGCAGTGAAATATCTATTCCCTAGGGAGTAATTGTGACTATAGTTACACTGTGGTTGCCTTGACCTATTTAATTGACTAGGTTACTAGATACAGAATCGGTGCAGGGTCAGAGGATGATTACCCCAAGAAGTTTGTCATACTCAGCAAGGAAATTCAGAGATGCTCAGGGTCTAGGATGGATGCCTTTCTCAACACTATCATTAATATTCTCATGGAGATATCCATGAAATGAGAACAGACTATTCTGGAAAAGATTATGAATCTTGGAAATTAAAAATATAATCAGCATAAACATAGCTAAAGAGTGAATTAGCAAGTTCAATAATTGAGCCATTACGAATGTAGTTCAAAAGAACAGGAGATAGAGAGTCTGTAGAAAAAAGAGACAAGAGTTCATGCCAACACTAATGTAATAGAAGTTTCAGGAGGAGAGAAATGGAAGAGAGGAACTAATGAAAGAAAAATCTACAGAAAAATATCTTTGGGCTGGGCGTGGTGGCTCATGCCTGTAATCCTGGCACTTTGGAAGGCTGAGGCAGGTGAATCACGAGGTCAGGAGATTGAGACCATCCTGGCCAATATGATGTGAAACCCGGTCTCTATGAAAATATAAAAATTATATGGGCATGTTGATGTGTGCCTATAGTCTCAGCTACTTGGGAGGCTGAGGCAGGAGAATTGCTTGAACCCATGAGGCAGAGGTTGAGATTGTGCCACTGCACTCCAGTCTGGCAAGAGAGAGACACTCCATATGTATATATATATATATATACACACACACACACACACACACACA